TATATATAAATGAATGAAGGGTATCGAACGTCGAGGTTGAAACGAGCAATCACCAATCGAATCATCTTAGCTCGAGGTATCTCGTTTTTCTCATCGAGCAAATAGAAAATAAAAACGCGAACATGGAAGGTAATTTCCTTTTTCGTAAAGGTTTTCTGCATACTCGTTGATAAGAAAAACTCGATCACGAATCTTGCCGTAGGATCTTCTATCCTTAAAACTCGCGTGAAAATGGAAGAAAATAATCGAAGGAGAATACCGAATAAGATCTACAAAGTAAGAAAAACAAATGGAAATGATTGACGACGACGATGACGACGACGTATAGATCAGTGTCAATTGGATGATCGATCAATACGTAAGAATAGACGGGGATCATCGGTAGGTATACGGTTAGGGGTTGGTGGTAGTAGATAGGTAGAGTTAGGAGTGGTGGTGGTGGTAATATAGATTGTGCGTGTTCGCACTTCTCAGTCAATTACGAGACGAGTCTACGCTCATTAGCATTAGCCTCCAGCGCACGTGCGTTTCGCACAACACAACCTATAGTCCTGGATTCCAGCTGTCGAGTTCCTTTTAAAGAAAGAAACAAATAGACGAACAAAACGAGTAGACCGAACTAAAGCAGTATTCTTCCAGTTAAACCGAACCTAATTGGATCGACCATCTACGAATCGCGTTTTTACTAAATACCTTTTTTTTTTTTTTCTTTTTCTTTTTCTTTTTTTTTTTTTTTTTTTTTTTTTTGAACCCTCCAGCTAACTCTGTCGAGAAAAATTCATTTCTGTTCCCGTTATTTACATAATGCGTGATTGGGACCAATGCGATTTAAATATCCGTTCCGTTCGTTTAAAAGAAAGAAAAAAAAAACAAAATAGAAGAATTCTGTTTTATCGAGCATTCGAGATAATAAAACTCTTCGAATTGCCGGAGTTTCAACGCTTTTGTGATTGCATAGCGAACAAAATGTGGGAGTTTGGATCGATAAGTTCTGATCGCTTGAAAATCTCGATGCGTTCGTCAAAAGAGAAAATGGAATCAGGTTCTCTCTCACTCTCTCTTTCTCCCTTTTATTTTTTTGTTCTTTTTTCCCCTCATTTCGTAGCCATGAAAGCCATGATTCGCGGTTTCCGATCACCGAATTCGCGTAGGACAAGGAAGGATAGAAAAGAGGAAGATCATCTTGGGTGTAGGGATTCGATCGAGTCGTAGGACGACGCGTCGTTTAGTAAATATTTTTGATCGCACCCCAGACTACTGCGAATTGACGTTTATCGACGTTCGCTAAAGGGGGTGGAACGAGGGCTGAAACCAGACTCGGTAACGCGGAGGGTGGATCTATCGCAGCACCCTTTCCCTCTGAGCTTTGGGGAGGGGGGACGGGAAATAATCCAGCCCCGCTTGTACACACAGTTTCATCATAGATAGATACACGTACACGTTTCACCCATACCGTCTCGACGTTCGTCGATAGCATCGCGTTTATTTACATTCTGCAACGCTTCCATTATTTCATCCTCCTCTCTTTTTTCCCTTTTTTCTTTTTTCTTCCCATAGCTTCGTTATTTTTTGTTGAATTATTTCAACACCCGTTCCACTCTCTCTCTCTCTCTCTCTCTCTCNCCCGTTCCACTCTCTCTCTCTCTCTCTCTCTCTCTCTCTCTCTCTCTCTCTCTCTTTCTCTCTCTCCCTTCATTTACTTTTTTGTTCGTATTCTCTTTTAGTCCGCATTTTGGATAATTTCATAATAAACGGTCACAACGTACAACGGCATTTTTGTATAAAATCATTTGACACTCCGTGCGTATAACACAGGCAGGAGGAGGTGCTGCAACACTCGATAAATTGCAGCAGTTGCATCGCTAGAAAAAAATAATAATAATAAGAAAATATATTGTGTTACCTTTACCGTTACTTTTGGTTACGTTAAATTAAAGGAGAGAAAGGAAGGAAGGAAGGAAGGAAGGATTTATTTAGTCGTTCTTTGGAATATCGTCCTCGTTACACTTGGAAGAACAGGAAGGAGAAGTCCCCGGTAGTTTCTCGTCCTCGCGACAAACGACTACGTCCTAAAATTACTTTCCGCTTGCACAACTTTCCTTCCTTCCTTCCTTCCTTCCTTCCTTCCTTCCGTTCTTACCACCCTCCCTACATCTTTCTTAAGGGAAATCATTGTGTATGTCGTTTAAGATCGCGCGACCAAATTACTAGGAAATTACAGATTTGCTACGCACCAATGAACCGTGCAAAGTAATCAAGTACTTACATAAATACACCAATACACAGGTTCATTATCTCCTTAGTTATCGCGAATATATTTGAGAAACGACAAGTCATGCTTAATATAGGGGTTAATGAAAGACATAAGGATCAAGAAATCAAGAAAAACGCTTGTATTCTTCGAGTCCTTGATTGGTCCAGTCAGAGGATGGATAGTTTGATAAAGGGGAACGAAGAAGATATCGTAATGGTGTCGTTTACGTTAGTGTGTGCGTAAAGGTGCAACGACGCGGCTGCTTTGAGTAAAATTGGGATGTCGAGAAGAGAGGAAGCGAGGGTGAATGGGTGGTGGCTTCAGCAGCAGCACCACCACCACCACCACCACCACCACCATCACCACCACCACCACTACTAGCACTACCACCACCACTACTAGCACCACCACCACGGTGGCGACGCCGCGCCGTTTCCAACTATGTTGGAGGGGTGGTGGTGGGTGCTGACACCGCGGCGCGAGGCAAAGAGGGTGAAATCAATACTCTGCGGTCTCCGCCCTCAGGAATACACGGATGAATACGCGAACAAACACGAGCATCGCCGACTTCGTCGTCGTAGTCGTCGTAGTCGTAGTCATCGTAGTTGTAGTAGTCGTCGTAGTCGACGGTGACGACGCCGTTTGTCGTCCCTTTTCAGATATCCCCGTAGTAGCGCTCTCTCTTTTTCTCTTCTACTTTTTCTTTTAGATTCTTTGCTCTTCGAGTTCCTACTTTTTTCTTTTCTTTTCTTTTTTTTCTTTTTCTTCTTCTTCTTCTTCTTCTTCTTCTCCTCACTTTTATATTCTTAGAAAAATCGAGTTCAGAGATGAGAAAAAGCCGAGAATCTTTTGATTTCTTTTTTATAATAAAATATATAACTTTGATCCCCAGCTCGTAGTATTTATTCAATAGAGAAAATTTCTATTGTTTATTTTAAGATATTGATAGAAAATCAGTTAAAGTGTTGTTTTATCATCTACTACCCCTTTGATTAAAAAAAAAAAAAAAAAAAAAAAAAATACTATTTTAATTGAAAAGTTGTGTAAGATTAGAAATGAGTAATTATAAGAAAAAATACATACCATTTATACAGTAGTAGTAGAAAAAGAATGAAAATGTTGCTCATCCATTCGAGTGGAAAGTAGATCTCGTTCGTTCGTTTGTTCGTTCGTTCGTTCGTTCTTTCTCTTTGTATTTTCACGGACTTATCCAACCAACTCCGAAGACCCGAAGACCTCCTCCGGCCCTTTTTTTCTTCTTTTCCGTTCAGCGCTTACTTTCAGCCCTTTTCACGCGTCGTCGATTATACGGCGCGTTCGTTGAAACGCACATAAGAGAGAGAGAATTGCAAGTAGGAATTGTAAGAGGAAACGAACGTAGTAGAAGGAAGAAGCACTTCGACTTCTCAGAGATCATAATGGCCGACGTTCATGACTATATTTCGCTGAAAGGATGAGAGAGAAGAACAAGAAAATATGATGTATGCCCTTTTGAAGATTTCATCTTTTATT